CACGTTCAAATAAAATTACTCTTAATTAAAAACACTTATCATTTATTAAACAGTTATAATTATTTCATATTGAAAGTACTTTTATAAGTTTGAATTCCAAATATGACCAAACTTCTTCTTTAAAGGCTGAATTTGCTTTAAAGGTTTTTACAAGCATCTCTAAGGGTTTCAAAATCAATAGAGGATGGTATTTACATGTTACTCTGGATAAGTTTTATCCATATGAAAGAATAATAGAGATGTACAGAATTCCCATTTTCAGTTGCTGTTTTAGCTATTCTTCCAGTACTAGTTGGAAAAACATATTTTATACTGAAGAAATGAGACTACTCTCAGGGGGTTATTATGCCGTCTTAACATTTATGAAGGAAACTTTTTGTTGCACAGTGACTGAGAGGGAAAAGAAGCGAGACACAAGCTGCTTCCTTTTAAATGACTTTTCCATATGACAAAGCCATAACCCATATTCTGACATTTCTTATGGAGGAAAAAAAAGCTCAAAGCGCAAAGACCATGCAGGCTAATTCGTCACAGCTCTCACCTCAGGGATCCAAAGCAGTTTAGGGCAAGGACGTTGGAGAAGTTTTGCATCCTCCTGGATTCTCCTCCCCCCATGGCAAATAAGTGTGTGTGGTCTCCTGCTGCTGGTTCTGCAGACCCTGGTTTAAAGGTCAATAGGTCAAGGCTACGTACTGGAATGTTTATGTTTTTGCTTCCCCTTTTCACAGCAGAACCCATAGTGCTGTTTTTTTTCTCCTAAAAATAAAAGTAAAACTTAAATAAAAATACTCACGGTATCAATTTGCAATCCTATGGTTTAACACCATTATACTTGCAATGAACTATGACAAATTAAAGGTATTCAGTGGCTAAAAATGAATAGGTTCCATCAAACACTGCACCTTGGTTTGTTTAAGAGTTTAAACATTCTTTAAAAGTGGGTCTCCTCAGATAAACATAGAATCTGTAAATAAGCATGTATCTGGCATAAGCTTTATTTAATCATGAGAAGGGATGTCTGGACAGTATCCAGTTTAATCATTCCCACCGTCCCAATCAAACAGTCGGTAGTTTGAAACCATGGCATTCAGCCTCCAGTTGCATGGCAGCAAACAGCTCCCCAAACTGTAGACATGCCACACCCACCCCCACCCGCCATCTCTCCCCTCTGTGCACAACTGCAAAAGAGAAATGGCTGTTTGTTCATGACCCATAAAACCCAGTTGCGAAATGTGGCTGCAAAAAATAAAAGAAATTACTGTAGCTGCTCAGGGAGTGGCCTGTATATATTTTTTTGAGGGGCTCTTGCACTAATCTGTGTATGTGTGTGTGGGAAGGGAAAAGGGGCAAAGCCAAAGGGCGGTTTATGAACAATTTTGGATTCTGTTGCTTTCCTTCCCCATCCCCCCATTTTTTTCACGCACTCTCTCCCCTACTCTGTTTTAACCATCTCCCCCCTTCTCTTCCTCAGTCCCCCTCCACCAGCAGGTTGTTTAATACTTTCCAGATTTCGGCATGCCTTCAGCCTCCTGGAAGAGTTGCAAGTCTGCTGATGGAATTTGGCGGAAAAAGGGTTGTGGGTCCAGACAGGGGCTCCTGACACTGCAAAAGCAAAAGAAGCTGAGCGCCTCCCATCGGCAGCTCCCTCAAAAAGGAAAAAAGAATAACAACAACAACAACAAAAAATCACTCACGCACAAATACATATATACATAAACATATATAGATATAGATATAAGTCCATAGCTTCAATGCCAATCTTGCAGGAACTGTTGACACACTCCAGCCACATGAGGTTTAACGTTGTCCAGCATTAGGAAGAAGCCAGGGCCAATCTCACCTTTACATGGTCTCACAAGGGATATGAGGATTGCATCTCAGTATCTAATGGCAGTTATGCTACCTCTTGCGAGTGCATGGAGGACTGTGCGCCCCCCCAAATAAATGCCGCCCCACACTATTACTGACCCACTGCCAAAAAGGTCATGCTGAAGGATGTTGCTGGCAGCAGATCACCATCCACTGTGTCTCTAGACTCAGTCACATCTATAACATCCTTACTGTAAGCCTGCTTTTATCTGTGCAGTATACAGGGCGCCAATGGCAAATTTACCAATCCTGGTGTTCTCTTGCAAAAGACGAGCATCCTGCACAGTGTTGGGCTATGAGCACAACTTCCCCTCTTTGGACGTTGGGCCCTTATACTAGCCTCAGAGTCGTTTTCTAACCATTTGTGCAGACATGCACATTTGTGGCCTAATGGAGATCATTTAGCAGGGCTCTGGCAGTTCTACTGTTCCTCCTAGCAAAAAGGAGAAGGTAGCTGTCCTGCTGCTGGGTTGTTGCTCTCCTACCTCCTCCACATCTCCTGTATTGGCTTGTCTCCTGGTATTGCATCCAGCCTCTGGACACTATGCTGAAAGAGATGGCAAACTTTCTTACCACAGCTCGCATTGATGTGCCATCCTAGATGAATCAAAAGAGTGTGTCTTTCTAATTGCCCATTATCTTCACTTGTCTATTCGTTTGGCACAACAGCATGTGGAATTAATTGTCAATCAGTGTTGCTTTCTAAGTGGACAGTTTGATTTCATAGAGAATTTGATAAATTCTAGTTATATTGTGCTGTTAATGTGTCTTTATCTTTTTTAAGCAAGGAACTAAGAGGCTGTGACTTCACAGCCTCAGAAGCAGGATGAGGGTAAACAGCTGCAAGGCAAGACTCGAGTTACAAAAGAGGTTTGCATGGGGGAGGGAAGCGGGTTTAGCCACCTGAACAAATCGGGCTTCTCTAGTGTCTTGTAAAAATGTGTGGGACAACTAGAGTAAATGTGTTCCCAGCTTCTCCATTCATCTAAATAAACCCTGATGGCAGCCATGAATGATGTCAAGGGAATTATTTCAACACAAATAAAACGAGTAAATACTCTGACATTATAAAAAAAATTAAGGATATATCTTATTTTTCAAAGAAACAAGATTACAAAGAAGATTTAAATAGGTAAATTTAGACCCCTAAGTCAGTGTTAAACTGACACGCCCATCAACATTTCCAAAATGTAAATAGCCACTAGATGGCAGTAGATGACTAGGATTTAAGTAGTTGATTGGGCACAAGTCGGTGGCAAAAAGCAGAACAGGCAGTAAAATTAATTATTAAAAGTAAGAACATAGAAATTAAATATAAAAAACAGCTTAAAAAAAGGATGAATGCAAAAATGCTTATCAAGCTTCTTTACAAAAATGACATACAAATCAACACCTCCAATAGTTTGTATTGATTCTATCAATCAATATAAATTGCTTGTTTCACCTCAAGAGTAAAAAATATTTTTTTCAGCCCTCTGGCAGGTTGGACAGTAAAATATCCTGAGTTTAAAAAAAAAATAAAATCATAAATTAAAACTTAAAAAGAGATTAAAATACCACTGAAGTGAGGATAAGAGAATGAATCATCAATCCACCTAAAATTGAAAAATCTGTTTTTAGTAAATAACTCTTATATGAAATACTTGGATCTGTTTAAACATGCAGCATTGAACGTTAGTCCAGCCACCAGAGGCTCACGTGTGTGTGTGAAAAAGTCAAAGGATGGGAAAGAAAATCAAAAGTGACAAAGCAGTTTTGATTTGATGATGAGCTGGAAGCTGGTACAAGCTAAAAACTGGGGTCTGTCATCCATCTTCCAATCAGCTGTGTAAGAGATATTACCCTGTTATACATGTCAGTCAGTGAAGCTTCTTCAGCTATAAAGCATTGCTCTTTCCCCCTCCTCTCCTCTTAAACATAACCCATTTTTCCTCACATGTGTTTAGTCATAAATCATCATATTATTTTAAGATTGCAGTCTTAAGAGATAAAGCCCAATAAGGCCTATATTGCTTCCTTCCTCCCTCCCTCTGCTGGGGGAGCCAAAGAATGGAGACAGGAAACAGAAGCGGCACTCAAGGAATTTCTTTGTTAAACTGCTGACCGAGTAGCACTTCATAATCTCTTGATGTAGTGCAGTACTCACAAAAAGTACTTCTTTTCCCTGAACTATTCTATATTAGATCACCTAAAACCACAAACTCTAATCAGTCTCTCTGGAATTTTATGTGACAAAGTATTATAGTAGTAAAATAAAAAGAAAAGGCTCCCAAAGGTTTATTTGTTTTGCTTCATGATGCCTATCAAGCTTAAAGGAGTGCCATATATTTCCAATCTTCCTTTTCCCCTGATTACTTATAAATATTTAGGAGAGGCATTAGTTAGATGGTGGCAAGGGCTTCACATCATCTCTGGAAGATCCGCTGCAAAGGTTGCAGAATCTGTAAAGTTAGTCATCCACTTTAAAAAAACAAAAAAACAACAATATTTATTTATTTTTGGACAGAAGGAACATAACCATTGCTAAAAAAAAAAAAAAAAAAAATTGCTACAAGCCACATTGTGGAACCAACAAACATCAAGAAGATGATGCTCTGGTCGGATGAAAACATCCTTGAGCTTTCTTGTCTGCAAGCAAAAATGCTGTGGATAGTCAGAACTAAAACTAAAACTCATCTTAAATGCATTCTGTAGGTAGCATCAAGCTGCGGGGATGTTTTTCCTTTTTCTATCATGGACAAAAAAAAATGCTCTTTATGGGAAGACGGATGAAGCTAAGGTCAACCCAGGGAGAAAACTTTTCAAAGCAGCAAAAGGCTTGATGAGGGGAACCCTGTATAGGCAGAACTGCAGTAAAAATGTCTAGATCATTGCATTTTCGTGTGTTATAATGGTCTGTTAAAGTCTTTACCTTAATCTAAACAAAAAGTAGAGATTCATAGCTCTCCATTTAATCTGACTGGCAATCCTCCAGGCTCTAATTGTCCAGAGCTGGTACAGACGAGGTATAAGGACATCAAAAAAATGCTGCAAAACACCTTCAAGATTTCTAACACAAATTAAGACAATGTGAAAAGAGTGTCTGCAAGGTACAGTAGTTTCACATATAACAAAAAACACAACAGCAATGATACCTTTGTCTATCTTTAATTGAAAAATATAGGTTAATTTGGGTAATACAGGGAAAAAGGTTGATATACAGCACAGACAACAACAGTAAGGCTTATTTAGATAATTAAAACACAGTGGCTCATTTGAACAAAATGAAAAAGACCACATTACATTGTGTAGTGTTTAACTGATAAATATCAGTAATACAAGTTATGTTGAACCTTTTTTCCTGCAAGATATTTGCCATTTAACTGTCATTTATTTTATTTCTTAAATCTTTTCACTGTGAAAGCCTTAATTAAGATCATACAAAACAGGCAGGGATTGACATTAAACAGTCTCCCAAAAGGGAATTTTTTTTTTTTTGGCCTTGATTATCATTATTTGGCACATCTGTCAGTTTTAGTTAAGGCAGAGAAATCAATCTGCGCAAGTCAGCCTGAGCCTTTTGGATCTAATGATGCAAGAAGTAGAGTTGAGCTGCAATGACTGTGCAACTTACATAAAACCGGCAATCTTCTCCTTAATGCTCTTGCATCTATTCGCTGGCTGAGGGTTCTTTTTTATCCTTCGTTCAAACGGTGACAGAAAAGGGGAGGGAGGGAGACTTTTTCTAAACAAAAAAACAACTACAGATACTGGTAGTGTATGGTTTTCTTTCACGTTCCAGCACTATTTTGTTTTAACCATGAAGCTGTACTCATCTGTTAATTAATGAGCATTGCTTTGTAACAAGTCAGTAGCACTGCAGTCAGTCGGATGCTAAACAAAAAAAAAAAAAAAAGGAAGGAAGGAAGTGGTTTTTATCTACTCTTCAGACAAGTTGAAAAGCCCCACAACGTAGAGGGAATGCAGCAGGTTTGTGTTGATGGAAATCATTTTGAAAGAAAACTCCACATGTTCAATGGAAATAGAGATAAAAAGACAACCAAGAATGTGGCAAACGCTACTCTTCACCCCCCCTGGTTTCCTGTGATAACAAGGTTCTTTGTAGTGAGCCCAAAGCATCACTTTAAAGCTTCCCCCCTGACCGGGTTGTGCTCTGCATGGCATCCACTAGACTAACAGAGAAGAATTTCGGTTTAGGCTTTATGGTCCTGCAATAAAGTCGGAGACAGTTGCCTTCAGGCAGCATTGCAGGGACCCTGAGTTACATAACTGAGAATAAGGGTTAAAAGCCTGACAGATCTGTGGCTCTGCCATAATATTTTCTGATGAAAGGGGCTTGATGCTGGGCCTTGCACTCCAGTCACAAACACAGCTCCCTTTATTGGGACAGAACACCCACCAGTAGTCCGCTTGTGACAGAGGCCTTCTGTTCAGCTCAGGCCGCATGATATCCCACAGCCAGGCAGCAAAAGCACAATCAAACAGAAAAAAGAGGGGGGTGATAGTGAGAAAATGAAAGGCTGGGTTAAGTTTTTTCCCCTTCAATTAGTTTATTTTCGTTAACCAGAAGTCACTGTTGAGTTCTGGAAAGGTAGCTATTTAGAAAGTGTTCCCAATCCATTTCAGTTATGTCAGTGTTCAAAAGGTTAAGGCGCTCTGGTGAATGGAGTTGGGCACAACCTAAAAGGAATAATCACACTTTCTTTACTGAATGTTTCTTGTCCCACCTCCCAAAGGTTGGTCATTTTGAGTCTGTACTCTTATACGTGGATTTCATCGTCTTCATCCTCCAAGAAAGAGGAGAAGTTGCTCTCCTCCTCAGGGGGCGCGCTGAATGTGGCGCTGTCTGTGTCTCCTGTATAATTCCGGTAGTTTGGCTTCTCATCTGTTGCATTGGAACCAGAGCTCGACATAGAACAGCTGTCCAGGTGCTGCAGGTGTTTGGGAAGAATCTCAGGAGTGTAAGGACCTTCATCTTCGGCTCTGAGATCAATAGAGTGTGGCGGATGTTCCGATGCATCTTTTTCTGTCTCCACCTGATGGTTTTCCCCCTCATCCTCTTCCCTCTCTTTCTCGTCCTCTTCTTCACAATGGTTGATCAGCATTGGCGAGCAATGGCCCTCACTGCTCTTGCCCTCCTCATAGCCAAGATCATCTTCCTCCTTTTCCATCACATCCAAGATATCATTAAGCATAGACGGTCCCAAGTCAACGTGGAAAGACATGACTGACTCAGCGTGCTTCATTCCACCGCCGTAGTGAACGGAACTTTCCGGCAACTCCGTCAATTCACCAAAGCTCTTTTCTTGCAGCTCGAGTAAGTTCGCTGCTGCCGCAGCACCCTCATTGTCCGGCTCTCCATGCTGCTTAAACGGGCTAGAGGACAAGCTCTTTGACACAAGGCTGTCCCCTCTGTTTTCATCATTGAGAAAAGGCAGGGACATGGCATTTTTAACAAAGGTTGGGGACCCTCCAGGAATCATGAGGCGATTATCGTTCTGTTGGTCCACTCTGGTCACAGACTGAGAGCGCTTGCTGCTCCTAAAGGTGCGGGCCAAAAGGCCTGGCCGAGGAGAGCGGGGAAAGGAAGCCGTGTCAGGAGAAGGTTCCCCAGAGCGTGTGCTCAGAAACGACGTATCTCCAAAAGCGTCACCACTGCGACCTACATGCATAGTGTGACGGAAATCTCCAAGGGGTGCGCTGATCATCTCCCTGGTCAAGTCCATACGTGAGCGACGCTTTGTCTGGGAGGAGGTGGAGACTAGTTGCTTTAAGATCGGCATGGTGTCCTGTAGGTAGAAGTAGCTCAGATCTTCAAGCTTTTTATGAAACAACGGTGCTCCTTAACTTCCGTCAGGGTTCAAATCTAAAAAAAAAAAAAAAAGACAAAACAAAATTAAAAAAAGGAAACAGAGAGAGAGAGATTGCTGCTCCAATCAATGGGAGTAGAGGTAGAACCAATACAATATCAGTACTGGATTCTATCCAGATATTTTATTGGATGTTGAGCCTGAGATCTGTTCACCAGTCCATTAAATTTTGAATACTGATGTTTACTGATCCAATGTAGACTAAAATTAAAAAACTGGATAACAAAGAGTTTCAGTTAATAAATGGTTATAAGAGCTTAGATATATCAAGTTACCTGAAGTGTAACTCACCCAATGTAAAAATATAACCCCGCCCCAAGATTGTATTTGAAAAAAATGCAAACAAAGCTATTGGCGCCAAGAGACCCTGGGGGATAGGGATAAGTGTTGGGATGAACAATAGAGGTTAGTGGTGGTATGGTCAGGACGAGGTAACTTAGACATGTTGAAGAATGGAGGATGAGCAGAGTGATGCTGGTAAGCCTTCAATTGATCTTTTGAGGTAGAGTAGTTTTCAACGTCTCAAAACTGGAGAGGCCTTTAGGATCCATTTGGCCGGAGCCTCATTGGTTTGAGCTACTTGCTTCAAGGCACTGAGTTAGCAATGCCTGAAGCCGGTGTCAGAGCAGAGTAAGCCAGAATGATTTGCTTTGGAGGTGCGTCTGAGTGACATACGTTTATACCTCAACATGGGGCTTCAATGATAAAAGCTTGTAGAGGTGACAAAAGTGTGAACAAAAAAAATACAATTTGAAGCAACTGAAAATTTCAACTGCAATAGCCACCATTCGGCCCTAAGCAACAAGATGTTTTAAAAACTAATATAAAAAAAAACAAACAAGGACTCACGGAATTGTAACTAAATTTACAGTAGCATTAACAGTCATCCCATAGGTCAGGTTTCTAAAGTACACTTTAAACTTAATAAAAATAAGTTGATTTGGGGATACGCTTTAAGTTTATACATTCTAAGGGATGTTACAGAGATGCAGTCAGGAGACGGAGAGATGCAGTCTGCTCAGAATTATTTTCTTCTGAAATTTTTGTCAAGTATCAACAATAATAACTTGCAATGTACAAAAACAACAAGTAATGTAAGCAAGAATAGGAAAGCTAAGAGTATTTTTAAAAAGCTGTTATAGTCTAACAATTATCTTTTAAAAAGCATACAAGCTATGGAAATTTTGGAAGTCTGTTTGGAATCTTTGACGCAACAAAGGAATATTTAAAAGCTAACAATTAGAGAGGCAGAAAGACTTCCATGTCAATAATTCTAAATGTGCAATTGTGTGTTAGTGATTTCCCCATATTGATATTACACCAATAGATTGTGTTAGAAACCGCATTATGAGAGACATTACATGGTTTTATTAAAAATGTTTTAAATGTTTTTCAAATGTTTTTATTTTTTCTGACACTGTGTTTTTATGCTTTTGTACAGTGACCTTGATTGTCCAGAAAGGCGCCTTTTTAAATAAAATGTATTATTATTATTAATCATTTTCATGAATGATGGATTTATCAAATGCTGAATTGTAATGGTACTCTCACACCAAGCCCAGAACCTGTAAAAAAAATATGCCAGTTTGGTTTGTTTTGGCATGGCTGACGTTTCGCTAGAAAGCTTTCTGGTGAGCAAAAGTAATTTGCAAGGCAGGCAAATTCGCACACTGGGCAAAAGATCCAATACGTCATCAAGTCTGCTGGTTGTTGGTATTAACTCAACATGGCAGAGATGGAATCTACAGAGTGAGACGTAGTGCTGTCCTCAACAAAGCTGCCAGCGGTGCCCAGGAGATCCTACATAGATGCTTTTAGTTCAGAAAGTCCAGGAGCTATGACTGGATTAGGGCCATCTGAAACTCAGACAATAACACCAGTGAAATCAGAACATTAACCGGCTATTCGGGGTGGCTCTGGAAGAGAACAATGAGACATCAAAGGAGGACAGCGGAACATTAGAGAAGTCTGCAAGCAGAGAGCTCCAGAGCAGGCGGTTGCTGTTTTCTATTTTGGAGCTACATCATAACTAGTCTTTCTAGGGCTAAATTAAAACTGCACTTTCAAAAAGGCACTGACACCTCTTAAGTACATTTCCGACTCAATTCTTTGTCAACAATTTATTCTTTATCTTCCATTATGATTAATAAAAATTGTCTCTGCTGTGCTCCTTCATCCTACATCACAACCATAACAAGTCTTTGATTGGTTTTGCAACACAAATATAAACTTGTATATCATTTTCCCTGCCTGATTAAATTTAAGACCTTTTTAAGAGATATTTACTATGCAAAGAAGTGTTATTTAAAGCCTGGTTTAAAGAATAGTCTCATCAAGGCAAATGAACTTGGTACAAGCTCAGTGGCATAAGCGCCTTTAGGGGAAAGTAGCTTTCATGAAAAAAGCAGAAACGCATATCAATCATCGTTCTTATATGTGGAAACTATTAAATGGTAAATGGCCTGTACTTATATAGTGCTTTTTCAGATCAGGAAACTTGACCAAAGCGCTTTACACTACATTCAGTTTTTCGACCATTCACGCACACACTCACACACTGATGGTGGCGAGCTACATTGTAGCCACAGCTGCCGTACACTGGCGCCCTCTGACTGCCATCAGTAGACAATGCAGGTGAAGTGTCTTGCCCAAGGACACAATGACACTGATAGCCGGAGCCGGGGCTTAACCGCCAAACCTTTGATTTCAGGGCAAACTCCTACACCCGACGTCACTGTCGTCCCTTTATTAAGTTAAAATCTGTTTCCAGGTATATAATAAAATATTTGTAGCATGGAAGGACATTCACATCATGTGGGAACTGTCCATTACCAACATTCACAACGTAATAAAACTGAAAAAGTCAGTAGCCTTTTCTTTCTACTTTATTTGCTTATTTCAATGTTTACAATAACGGATTATGGGTTCCGATGCATACTTTGTAGATATCTTTTTAAAAAAATTATACGACTGAAGTTGTGGACCAAAATGCTTCAGTGTAGCTGGTAGTGCCTGATTTGTCTTACATGTACTTAAAATGAACAAACAAAATAAAAATACTTTTAAATGAAAGTGCTCAAGAGAAGAACCTGATGTTCTAAGGAAATATTTGAATTTTTGAACTGGATCAAATCAAAACCCCAAAGTACTGGACTGATGCATTTCTAAACTGCTGAAAAACAAACTTACATATTCAGCCAGGATCTTCAACAACAAAAAAGCTCCCCCCAACTGCAAGAATTGGAGCTAAAAAAACAGCCGAATAATCACTAGTAGGGCTCCCCACTCATTGCTTAGAAATGGCCACTAAAAGGCAGTAAAGACATGGGAGAGCACCACAGGATTTTATGTGAAAACAGCATTAGAAGTGAGAGAAAAACACCAACCACAGACCTAAAGGAATCAGAAAAGGATAGCTGAGGGCTACCAGGAATTACACATTTGCAAGATGAACTTTGACTGCAATCCACACACAAGTTTTCATTACTATTCATATAAGGACTTTACATTGACTTAAATTCATTGTAGTTAATTACTATTTAGGTCTAACCCTTACATTTACCATAACCCTTATTATAAACAGTATACTCCAAACCCAGAACTTAACCTACAGTTAACCTACACCATATATCAAAATGGACTCTCTAACAGAAAAAATGTGTCCAAGTACATTAGGAAAAGCCTTTGGTCCTCAGAAAATTAGTAAATATGCCAAAAAAGGTCCTAAATAGGTAATATAAACAAGTAAACAAACAGCAGGCGCATACACACTGCCAGAAACACACACCCTCCCACCAAATTAGCTTATAATACGTAAATAAAAGTCAATTATTCGCTAAAAATTCAGATGACCAGAGGGATATTTGGTAAAGAAAAAGCAAATATGACCCGAGTGGCACATTAGCAGTTTGAATAGATGGTGTTTGCAACACATGGCAGAGATGAGTTGCTGCAATAAAAATTAGATGTCAACACTAATTAGATTTTATAACTAGGAATATAGTAGTTATTGACTACAGCCTGACTACAGTGCTACAAAGAAAATGAAGAAAATTTGAAATAACAAACGTTGAATATTAAAGATAAATTTTTGATCATGCTCCTTATGAATAACTTTGCATTATGTGCAGATTCCAGTAAAGCATCCAAATGTACAGGCCTTGCAAATGCATTATTACAACTTCAACTTTTCACACTGCATCATGTTACACCGACAAACATGGATAAGAGTATGGAATGGAAACCATAGATTGTTTTAAATGATGAAACTGTCTGAAAAGTTTTGCATGCGTCTGTTTTCCACGTCTCTGCTCTCTAAAACTGTATAAATGCAATTGTACCTCGAAGGCATAGGAGGTTTTGCAGAAAATATTAGAGAACAAAGAGAATCCCCTAAGACCAATGAATATATCAGACAAGTCAGAGAAGAAGTTTAAACGGCTTACTTTATAATGTCCCAATGAATAAACAACATCCCAAGCTTTGAACAGCTCACTGACAACAGTAATTGAAAGAGAAGAGCTCACAATGTATTTTGAACTCCACTAAGAAGCACAACTCAGTGTTGATAATCAAATGCAATCTCAATGAAATGAGGTTTCTGACTGTAATTTGGCAAAATGAGAAAAAAAGTAAAAAAAAAAGTATGGCAATTCTTTTTAGAAGGATATTACGATGTGAAATATGACAGAATATGGTGACTTAAATCAAAAGACATAGCCTACATGTTCTTGTACCAATCCTCTTCTTAAACAAATGTGTAAACCCCTTGAGGTTTGAGCGACAGCTTAAGGAAAGTGCTTATGCATTATTAATGGCCCTGACAGAGGAATCGTCACCACAGGCAGCCAGCCAGACACGCGTACTTCCTCCCCCTTCACCTCTTCAGATGGTGAAACAGAGGACAAGGGCAGGGTTTTTCATTAATTATCCTACAGTGAAAAGTCAAACTAAGGTGGAAGATCAAATGCAAGTATATCCCTTCAAAAAAACTAAAAACTAAATTGCATGTTTATCATGTAAATGGGAAATCTGAGCTAAAATTTCAGCTTTTAGTGACAGCATTTTTATCCTAAAGCAATCATAATAAAAAAAGTAATTAATCAGTACTCATTCTGGATATTAATAAGATTTCCAAGAAAAACAAAACATGGATTTGTTTTTTTGAGTAATTACCATCAAGAAACTGTAATGTGGCAGCAAACATTTTAGTGCAATGACCTCTTTCTTTTGTCCCCACCCCCTCGCTGCTACCAGCTGAGCCTCTTTTTCTCTTCCTGTTAAGGCAGACACCTGCTTCAGTTCCCATAGAAACAATCTGCTGCAAGCAAGCAAGCGGCAGCATTTCCTGTCAGAGGTTGCAGAGGCTTCAGGCCTCATCCTCAGTAAAGCAAACGCAACATACCTTCTTTTAGAACGGCATTGTCTCCATCTATGTTTGCCCTCGCGGAATTAATTAAAATGACAAATTAAAACAATTTTTGACTGAGCCTGAATCACGATATGACAAATTTTCCCTAACCTGTGATGACTTCACTGAGAAACACAAACATCATTATTTATATTACAGACATGTTTATTATTAAATCAGCTCATTCTGGTGTTGTTATGGGAAAAATAATGGAGGGGTTATTTTTTCACACCCAGCAACAAAAGCTGTTTTTTCTTTTTTAGGTAGTTTCTCTTGGGTGGCATAAAAGGGAAAAAACAAAAAGCTGAGTAAATGAGCGGGTACAAGGGGAAAACTTGCCTCCCACTCTTCCTCCTCAGCCGCAGGCCAAGATCAAGTTGGAACGCTCAATGAAGCCTATTGAAGGAACATTCTGGCAAAAAAAAAAAAAAAGTAAACTCATACCACCAAGGAAGCTGTTTTGCCAGTTAAATCTAAACCCCCTCCGGAGGCTATGCAGCACCACATTGTCAGACCTGTTGTAGCTATAATATTTTTGAAGTAAAACGGGCATCTACAGCTAAACACGTGAGTATGGGAAAAAAAAAAAAAAAGTTAAAACAGTGAGGCTGGAGAAGACAGCAGTAAGCGTGGGAACCTCTGGGTAAAAGCCTTGGGAGTTTAACTGGGGGCTTGACTTTATAAACAGACTCATGGTCCAACTGCAGAAGAATGTGTGAGTAAACAAACTCACACACACACATATGCATATATACATACATAACTACATATATACACATACATGTGTATATATATAGAGTATATACATACACATATATTTAAACATACAATTTATTGCATTAATAGTGATTAATTGACTATTTGAATATAGGAATATAGGGGAGTGTGGCCTAGTGGTTAGAGCACTGAGCTTGGATTCAAGAGATTCTGAGTTCAACTCCCACTACCACGGACTGCCACTCTGGGTCCATGAGCAAGTCACTTAACCCAACACTGCTCCCTGGGCGCCACACAATGGCAGCCCACTGCTCCCCAAAGGGATTGGTTAAATACAGAGTTCATTTCATTGCTCTGCACTAGTGATAGTGCAATGACAATAAAAAGCTGGGAAAAAAAAATCTTCAACTAATTTAATAATCGATTAATAGTTAACTGAGAATAGACACTGTAAACATGTCTTTAGGTGACAAGAGTCACCCACTTAGAACAGCAACAATGCCAAGATTGTAAAAAAACATGTTAACATTTTGCATTTAAGAGAACAAAAAAAAAAAAACATTCTCTATCCAGAAACCCTCAGAATCCCTGGTTTAATATTGTAAAAAGTTTTCTTTAAAGAATCTTTGGCTATCATTATTAATCGAAAAACTAATTGACAGATCAATCTATTTACAAAATAATAGCTAGTTGCTATATATATATATATATATATATATCCCCATTTGCATTTGCAAGTTCTATTTTCTATTTTTAATACACTGCTATATAAAATTTGTTATCAAACCAAGATTCACTGTTCTTAACAGCCTTCTTTAAGTACACAGCGCTGAATTTTGCTTTAATTCCCTTTCAATAGACCTACAATTTATCTTGGTATCTAATAGTATATATATATTTTTTTTAAAGCAAACTTAGATGTGAGAAACGTAACCACATCGTGAAAAAAATCTAATTGCATGAAAACATCTTAGCGAAGCAGACTTAAATAACATTTTTGCAAAGAGATGTGAATTGAAGCGACACAGAAACCTTTTTGGAGTCATTCCTAGTGTTCTCATGTTTAGCACGGTCTCTGTTTATGCTTGCGCTGCTGCTTTCTCACTCAGCATCTGAGAAGTACCACATCCACATCAAGGCAGTTTAGTCAACCTCGTAATCTGTAGTAATTATTCAGAGGCTCGATTCTGTTTTTTGTTTCTGAGAAGCTTCACTGTCAGAAATGGAAAGACACAGATTGGCCAGAGTCTCCTCAACACACACGTATGCATGCATGTATGTATAAAATAATAACCCAACACAATTTTGTAAGGCAGCTCTGTAGACACAAAAATCACTGAGCCCCTACTATTCCTTGCAGCTGCTATAAAAATTTTAATTGCTGACAATCACTACATTCTTGGCTATGCATCTTAAAGGCAAATGTCAATGCTGATGATAAATACAGTACGTCCCATACTTAACAAACTTTTAAGGACTGCAGGAACCTCAAGGTTATACACCAAATAATCTCGTACCAGCTCATGCTTAACCTGGCATAGACACAACTGTCATTGTAAATGCAGCTAATGGATATGTATTCCTTTACTCCAGATGAATAACTTCATTATCCTCATTTCCCCTGAACTGTAACCTGCATTAAAAAATATTACAGACTATATAAAAAAAAAAAAAAAAAAAAAAAAAAAAAAAGTACTGCAGGAACTAACAAGTAAAATTACTAATAAAATTATTTTTTTTTTAGTGGACTGGGAGTTTACAGGAATATTACTACCCCCCTAATTGAAAATGATTTTACCACTATGGCATTTTTTTAAAAGACATCACAACTTATAACTTCTAATCAATACTCTCAGACAGACTGCTCAATACTAATACACATGATATCACTCCCAGATGAACGCTTTAACTCTTAAAAATGACTTATTGTCCATTTCCAGAATGAAATACTGATGCCTTGCCTGTGCACTTTAATTTATCCTGTGTATATTTTTCTGCTGGGGGCAAGAGAAATGCCACATTAGTACATCATCTAAAATCACTGACCTGAATGCACAATAGCATGATCTCAAGCTCAAATGACATTCAGGGGGGTTGGCCTGTATGAAGATTGCTGATAATTCCTGAGCCTGCATGCCTGCCTGAATCTTGTTTTTTAGTGATTGTGAATGTAGAAAACTGTTGAGAGCTACAGCAATGTTTAGAAAAATGCTAGCAAAAACACGAACCAGTAATTAAGCAGACAAATGGCTTCTGTAGATGGCATCTTCCTGCAACTCATTTAGCAGCCCTGAATATCTCATTTAGGAAGGAGCGGCCATAGGACAACCAATGGAAATCCCATTATCTCTCAATCACACTAAATGGGAACAACAGACATTAAGCAAATGATACCCTTGAGATGAATACAGCGGCGCAATGGTGGTCTATTGAGAGTTGACAAATCAAGCCCTCCCTCTCCAATGAAAGACAAGTTTAAATTTAGTGATTATGCATCATTTTAGGAATGAAAGAAAAGCATCTCATCTCTGAGCATTTTCTTTTCTCCCACCATATCAGCTCATGTCTGTTCATGGAGCTCAGACGACAAGACAATCCTCTGTATATTTAGTTACCTTCCTCAAGCCCTAATGAACTCTTAATTTATCTGGGACATATACCTCTTGATAGTAAAATATCCAGCAGCAGGCAGCAAACTATGATATCTTATAAGCTAATTAGCTATGAAAAAATTAACAGTTGAAATCAAGAAATGCTGGAGCTGCAGAAAACTTTTCTTAGACAAAAAAAGGGGGGGGAAAAAAACTGTCCAGGACACTAAAAACGCTTTGAGCCATCTGCGACTTTGAACTGGATGACAGTGGCACAGAGACACACTACCAACTGAACAGTTGGAACAGCTCATTAATACTGCTGAGAAACAGATAGACCTGCAAGGATTCAGGCACCCCTTTTGCCCACTTTTTAATCAATGATCTTAGGTCCAAGGATTGTTCGCAAGACTGTGAGCAAACCCAGCTACCAACAGAAAACCCACAAAAGCAAATATAGCCAAAACGTGCAAGCCGCACAGACAAAACACCTGCACTCGACCAAGTCAGTGCCTCACAAACCCCCCCCGAAAAGCATTTCCCTCCGTCTACGGTAAGAGGAAATACCTGTTCTCCTAACTGAGACAAAAAAAATATATATATATATGCCATTTAAAATCAAACGTGTGTATTTTCTTTCACCGCTCATGTACACCGAGGAAGCTGAAGTAAGGCAGGGTTTTATGCTAATGTTTGCCAGACTCTCGGTAATAACAGCATTCTGCCAGGGATAGTGATATACATGTAACTACATTGACATTCATGTTGGAGATTTCCAAATCTGACTCCATCCTAAGGTTAGTGAGGAGAATATTTGATGTCAGCACTAGGGCTGGAAGGAGATTTTGCTGCATGTGATGTCCACACATTAAAATGTCACAATGTAGACTCTTACAACAAAACAAGCTGATATTTGAAGGCAACAAGACTTTTGCTCAGTTTTTTAAAGACTTTTCTTTACCTATCCAGCAGTCTTTTGTCAATTTTGTTTGCTCTGACCAAAGTGAGGTGTCGAAATGTCTTCAAAAAAACTGACCTAAAGTCCGGTTGCCTGCCAATTTTAGCCTGCTTTGTGGTTGCCATGACCTGGATGACTGAGAACTTACACAGGCAATATAAACTCTTATTTTGAGGCATGAAAGGGAAGTTGTTTTTGGGTTACCCATTATTTGACTTGTCTGACACTGACTATAATCCTACAAAGGTTACAGGGATTTTTAAATTACACTCCCAATGCTGTGGTATTCTGACTGAAGATTTCCATCAAAGGGAAAATCTCTGCGTATTCTTACATCGGTTTCCTGCAGAGAAACTGCAGAATGTGGTTAAGAAAAAGGATCTTTAGAATTCCAATGTCATAAGCTGTGAAAAGATCAATTGATATCCAAAAATGGAAACGCATATATGCAAAGTGCATATCCCTGCAGTCAGATACTGTTGTGGCAGAATAATTTTTTTTTTTTTAGTAGTAACGGTGATGTCTTGCAATCTAAGTGTATCATGACAACCCCAGCAAGCAGCTCTGACTGGATAAACTGTTACTCTGTAGCAAACAGGCCTAAAGCTAGCCAGTTAGACGTGTATCAACTGACCTCTAAGACCTGAGTGGAGATGACTTGTCTCTGTTCGGTTTGCAGCCAACAAAGCCTTGAGACATGACACTCCATCTCTCTCTCTGCCTCCTCCTTCCATCTCCCTCTCCGTCATCCTCGGCCGCAACGAAACTGACAACTTCTTCCACTACAGACATGAAAATCTGACAGTGGATGAGGATTTTCTATTCCTGCTTGTCGCACTAAACAACAAAATGCACTCTGCATGTTAAACCAGACTGATGGGCATCACCTTTATGGCCCTACAATGGCTTTGTACTCACAAACAAAGCTTTACATTCCAGCTCTGCTATTATCTCTGATCAGAATTTGGTGTCAGGGTCAGGCTACTGAAATTACAGCCATTATTGTTGAACATTTGCGTCATCTGTTAAAATGGCATGTTCTCTGAAAATGAGTAGCAGTTGGAGTCAGTAGAAATTATTGGCAGCACTCTATAGTGTTGATTGCCTCAATATAGTGAGAGGGATTAAAAAGTTCACACTGGCAGC